ATATGCTTCACGTCGAATTTTGTCCCGCAATTTTGAATTCATATCGGGAATGCACCATCTCACAAGTATCATCACAAGAGCAACAACATTCTGAAAAGTTAAATTTTGTTAATTGTTAAATTTTCTTTTTACTTTTTATTTTTAGATCTAATATTATATCGACAATGTGACAATACCTCAAATACAACAATAAAGGTTAGTCTTGCTGCAAGTACATGCCAAAACATTATTGTATACTGATATTTATTTGGCGAATCTGGCGGTTCTCTATAATCTGGATATCTACATATTTCAACCTGTTCATAATTAGGTATAGGAACCGGTTTGGTACCATTTTTTAAATCAGTAGTATTAAACTTCGAAAGAGAGTGTTCTAAAAATCCTTCTAGAGAATAATTATCAGAAACAGTCATTTGATAAACTAATCTTGGTATAAAGTTTGAAGTAAAAGCTATAATGAATGCCTAAAAAATGTAAATTATAAATATACCCAACATTGTATTGCTTAAATGAAATACTTTTTTTAAACATTCAAACTTACATTAGTTATAACAGATAACTTGGAAATGGAATCAAGAATGCGGTACCATATGCCTATATTTATAACGCGTTGTCCAACTGGCCTTCTATACATTTTTAATAGTTTTTTTGCATCTAATCGCATTTCAAGAACATTATTCAATAATGCAAAAAATGGTGCTAACGGAAATGCAGCAACAAAAATAGTAACAAATCCATATTGTAGCACTGTAACGAATAAAATACATTCCACTAATTTATAATCCTTAACCCACTGAAGATATTTCCTAGTAGTAACTTTCTTTTGTCCATTTGGGGTTTTCATTCCAACATGTACTTTTAAAGTATTTAACCATTTATAAAATAGCGGAAACAACATTTCCAATATCGTAGTCATAGCTTGTTTGCCAATCATAATAATGCTTAACTGTATACACAATTCCATAAGGCAACCACCAGGACCACATTCCTCTTGTCGATATTGAAAAAAGCGATTATATTGACTTGGATAACCGACAAATTTTCCCTTAAAGAATGCTATATAAAATATAGAACCATAATAGTTAACAAATTCAAGTAGGTATATTTTTAATGTTAAACTATCATCAAATTCAGTTTGAGTTCGAAGAAGTTCAATCTGCAAAAACAAAAAAAAATGTATTACAAACAAAACCACAAAGAAACTTTGTTATAACATAAATATTTTCGTTATAAGTACCTCTGTTAAATATTCAGCTAACCAAACATAAACCCAGTTAAATACCATAATGCAGCACAAATTAATACTGGCTGCAGTGGCTGTTGTAAACAATATCGCATAACTTGTTACCATGGGATGTCCATAAACACTTAATGCAATTAAAACAGACATTCTATACAGAACAACTGCCAACACAGCAGCCATTTCTGTTGCAACCTACGATATAAAGTATAAATAAACAACAGTTTCTTGTTAAAAAAGAATGTAGCAATTAAAACTATTTTTATTTGTATAATATTAACAAACCAGCAATATAATGACGGAAAAGCTAAGAATCTTAACTGGAACTTTCATTTTCCAAAATGGAACTCTTGGTTCTTCTGTATTTGTAACAATATTTAATGACTTCTTTTTTATGTGTGCTAAACGTGCTAAGTACTGAGGCCGAGGGTGTTCCTCTTGAGCATCTAAACCAGTCAAGTCCCATTTGTGAGTTATTTCTGCTGAATACCTCTTCCATAATTCCAAAAACAATGTAGCTAATAAGAAATAAAAAGAATAAGAACTGTAATTCAATGATACCTCAATAAATATTAAAATAACACTATAACATACCCCATAATGACATAAATACAGAAAAAAACACGGTAGATGGGTTATCGAACAAATACGTAATTCTTGCGTGTAAGCAAGTTTCTTTCAGATTCCAATATCCACAAAAATGATCACATAAGGGACACATTTCAATGGTACCATTACCATTACACACATCTTCGCTCGGTTCGTTAGAATATAAAGTTGCGCAACTATATATAAAACATAAAAGACCAACGATGCTAGCAGGTATTAACATATGCGTATAGAATCCAAGCCAAGCAAAGTAAAGTCCAATTTTTACACCAAAATACTCTTTAATATAATCTAAAGGTTGATAGTGAAGACATTTTCTCAGACTGGCCCATTCATTATACAGAAGATATCGCATAGAATCTGGCGATTGCAAATCACCCTAAAAATAAAAATAAAAAATCATTGTATTCTAAATAAATTGTATACACGTAAATTTAAAATCTACGATTATTTTATTGTTAAATGTTTAGATATACATTTATTCAGAGAAATAAAAAGTAAGACAAAAGAATATAAAATACCGTTGTCTTAATGATATACTTTAACCGTTATTTTATAATTGAGATGAGTTCAATCATCTTCGAGAACTATTATGGGGGTGCGTTAACGGTACGTTCGTTGATCGTACAGGTATAAGGGGTGGGTAAATATTAAGAAAGTGCAGGTATAATACAGTGCCCGGCCTCCGAAGGCGCGAGCTTATTGTAATACCTGAATCAGTTTCTTTAAAGACAAAAAATTGCAGGTACATTTTATGGTACTCCTTACCTTTACGTGCAATAAAATGCGGCACCTTAACGGAACTTTTTTTTCAATATATAGGAGACAGTATTATTTTGTAAGCTTTAAACTACTTGGTTCTAAAAATACTTTTTTGAATTTCAATAAATTTCAGAAAAATCTAAGTATAAACAAATAATTTTTGGCATTATGATATAATATGCAAATTAAACATTCACAAAGTATAAAGATAAAAATTTTATGATATTTTTGGAATGTTAAACAATTCATGGAGTATCAAAAGACTCAATGAAATAATACAGAAATAAATTTATATTGTGGGTAACATAATTGTTAAAAATTTTACTTTTGTCAGAACTTCAATACTCATAAAATTAAACAGTTTAAAGGGAGATTAAATGCCCAACTGTAATTTTATTGTCCTGCGTGTTTATGCGTTGAACCCATCGACAAAAGGGCAATAAAAGGCCAGGTGGCCGTATTGAACACCTATACCTGACCGCTCCGCCTGATAACTGTACCTTATCTATCTGAATAAATACACAAAACCGGATTAGGGCAAGACGTGAAAATCCCATAACCCGTTTTATGTTCGATATAAAGTCAAGTAGGGTGGTTATATTCAAAGACGTAAGGCTCGTCTTTGTCAAATTATTATGGGTCCTCCTACAAAAATTACTGAATAGATAATTGGCTGTTTGGAAGGTGCGAGCAGAGGTATGTAGTGGGCAAGTGAAAAACAATAGCGCTTCTCGATATTACGGTACGTCAGACATACCTACTTCTTAACAACTGCAATTAAGTTTTTGAGGGATGTACAAGTATACATACAACTTAAATGGAAATGGAAATAAAGATGTTTAACATAGCAATGCTATTTGTGAAATTTAAAAACAGTTGAAAAAAAAATTTTTAAATGTAGCTTACATCGTGAAGAGGATATGTGGCCACGTATGCACTCCCCGAAATCAATCTTTCTATTCCAAATGCAAAATCGTCGTTATTGGATTCGGTAAATCTGGTTCTATCTAAAATAAATTGTACAATTCTGGCACGCGTTGCGGCAGTAAAAAAATTTGGTGAATCTAGATCAAACAAGTATTCCTTATCACGACTATAAACTGCCGTAAAATTTTGTTTCAAATTAGGAAATATTGTTTGATCTACGTAATATTTCTGTATAATTCTCTTGAAGAACGAATTAACTTCCTTGATTAATGTGTTACTATGGTTTTCAGGAATTTTCATGCCAGGTAATTCCTTCATTGGCAGTCTAAGTTTCAATATTTCAGCATACCGTCTTAATACTTCTCGAGGTGCATGTATCTTTATGAATTGTAGACCATTTGGTTCTGCTTGTTCATATTCCAATTGTAAACCTTCTTTCTCCAAATTCTTTTCAAATATCTAAAAATTATAAACGTGTTAAACAAAAAAAGAAAATCATTTGTTTATAAGTTTACTTACACGTCTGAATTCAGTACACTGATATGATTGAGCTTCTACATTAAGTTCATCCCAGACAAGTACAAAATCAATTGTACGAATTTCATCACGAAAGTATAAACTAAATGCAGTTCCAGACTTTGAAACCTGCAAAAAAGGAAAATTAATATTTGTGTATGTAATGTTTAAATTTTAAGTACAATCTTTGAAATACTTATATGATTATAAATTTGGATTTACCGATCTTGAACTTCTATCATTTCTTAAATCTGTACAACTACCATCAATACCTCTTTCATTGGTATCAGTATAAAGAGTTGATAAATCATCATTATGTGATTGTTGAATATCTTCCATGGAGATTGCACTATGCATACTATTTAAACTGCTCATATTTGCAGCATCATTTAACGAAGTATTAAGAACACTTTGATATAAAGTGTGTACAGATCCTATGTTCAAATCACTTTGTAGCGATTGGTAAAGACTTACTTCAGACGTATTATTTTTACTGTTTTGTATCCATGGTACAGAAGCCTCTTCATCATCCTCTTTCATTTTTAATTTTATTGATCAGTATTCAAATTCTACTTATTTGAGTCAAATAATATGTACTACATGCAAGCCAAATAAAAGGAATTTATATATACACAAAAAAATATAGCACATACATATATAAATACATTTCTTTCAATACTACATTATCATTTTACATCAATCTAAATAAGTATATATTATAATATACAATACAATTAGTACAAGTAATTAAGCTGTACAAAAAATTAAAATTTATTTAGTTTATAATTTATTGCCCCAACTATACAAATAATAACCGCGTAATAAATAAATTTTAATTCGAAATAAAATAATACGAGAAAAATAATACTATAGTATTAATTTTATAAAAACTTAGCCACAATATTTGTTAAGCTTTCTATAGGAAAAACAACTGCTAAAATATTGAATATCCTTACAATATTTTTATGATTGTTCCATCGAGAATCTTTTAAATCCGGATGCTGTTCAGATATGGAGCAGGAAATTGTCACATATCTATACTGATAGAATATAATTTCATTGTATACGTACTTTTAACCTCCACTTCATTACTATAAATTTGTTACGTGCCTTAATTTAAACAATTAACTAGACTGCATTTATCCACACATGACATACTTTAAGTATGTTAATTTAATTGCGTGGATAAATGTAAAAAGATGCACATAATGATGAATATGTAGAACACCCATGAATCATATTACCAAGCAGCATGCATACAAGATATGTTAAATGATCACGCGGTCAATATAAATTGATTTAATTTCTTTATTCAATAAACAAGCATTTTATTGTCTATAGCAAATTACAAACCATGTTTTAAGTAAAATAATATTAATATTTGCATTAATTACAAAATTTGTTAAATATCAAATTTGTCTTAAACATTATTACAAATATCCTTTTGTAGTTAAGAAATTCATAAAAACACAATTGGCACAAATAATTTAATACTTTATTAAATTGTATGTTACAAATATTTTTTTGTAAGATAGAAATAGTACAAAATTATTCTTTGGTACTTCTTATCCAAAAGTAAGTAATGTATGAAGATTCATCAAATTCATATATGTATATGCATGTTATTTAATATAATTCCTGCTATTCATTAATATTAAGGTACATATGTTGTTTTAAAAATTGTATCTTACAAATATTTTAGTAATATTTGATTTCATTATATACATTTATTATGATACATATCATACTTCTTGCATAACTAAAGAATTGAGTTCATCTTCTCCTGGGCACAATACAGAGTCGATATTGTAGAATGCTGCATGCAATGTTATCAACAACCAGGACACACCTGAAACAAAGTTTATGTGTAAATAATTCAATGTTACATTTAATTAGAAGTACATTTATTTGATTTACCAAAGACCCAAAAGAGAGCTGCACCAGCACCAACCAAATAAAAGACTGGTAGTGAACAGATTCCAACCAGAGAATAAACTTGAGCTAGTGTTAATTTATGATTTAATACCATAAGTTCCTGTTTAGCATGACGCTGTGAAATTTTATAGCAAGTTCCAAGGGATGCAGTAACCGCAAGAAGCAATAGTGGTGAGGTAACCCTAATGTTTAACAATTATTTTCAGACAAAGAAGAATAATATTACAATGAAGAAATAAACCAATATAATAAGTCTTACAAGCAATATATAACTAGTCCAATAAACACAAATAAATAATTGCTCTGGAAATACTCAATATTTCTCACAATTCTTTTACTTAATCTTGGTAAACTAGGAGGTGGTCTTATGTTGCTTGTATTAAGAAACATAGACCATGGCCTAATATTGGCTTTTCTGTGTTCAATCCATTCATGAGCTTGTGGATATCCTATGTTATTAAGTGGAAATTGTGGTAATTGTAAGAAGTCAAGCCTAAATAACAAAATACATAGGTAATACAATCTGTGTGTTTTATGAATATAATATATAATTAAACATTTTTAAATTAACTTTTTTTTTTTAATGTAGCTTTAACCAAGAACTATCAACAAGATGTCAGTGTCACTGTCATCGAAAAAGTTTCCTGTAGGTTAGATAGCAACTATTCAACATCTTGTTTCAGATCATCAAATCCATATAATGTGCACTTAAAGGATTACCCAGTGCCAGATTTTTGCTTTTGTTGAGGTGTCTGTATATCACCCGCGACCTCGATTTCCACGTCTGCCATTCTGCTGTTTCAATGTTCGAATATTTGGAAATGGCTCGAGTAACAAAGAAACGACTATCCTCTCTGTTTTACTCCTTTATGTGGAGGAGCCTCGCATCCCCACCGCGAGGCGTCTGCAGCCTCGTTTTAGAAAAAACCCGTCGTAGGCAGTAAAATTCCCATCATATCGCACATCGAACTACTATGTTACCCCTACCACCGACACCGCTTCACCAACACAGCTCAGCGTTCGCGCATACAAACGCTACAGGTTGCAGCTGCTCGATAAAAATTCTTTCACTGCCTTCGTAAAACTTCTTTCACGAAAAGGGCTCTTTGTCTGAGTAAGGTAAAGACGCAAAAGATTTTTCCCTTCCTTACGTGAGTTTTTGATGCTTTTACTTAACAGGCGTAAAGAAAATCTTTCTTTTTCATCGTTCATCACAGTACGTTTACTGCATGCTATTTTTTTTTTTTACTGAATTTTGCTTTTAAATCGAACATTTTACTTTCACCTTTCTGCTCAGGAAATCGGAATATGTATCTTTTGCCTAGAATTCCTGAAGCGTAAGGTTTAAAGTAAAAGTAAATAAATGTAAAAGCATTTTACATCTCCGTGATCAATAAGCAATGTATTTGTGTTTATTTAAATTAATTTTACATATTGAAGTTCTATTAAATTTATATAATATTTTCCAAGTGAAACGTTGTAACTTTGTGAATTTTATGTTCGATTTCATTTTCAACGTTGTATTCTTTTAAATTTGTAATTTGTACATCGTAGTTATGCATTAATAATTTAATTTGTTAGTAACATTATAACATGTGATTTCATTTATTACAGGGACATGAATTTTTAAGCGCTGAATGAGATTATCATTGGTGCAAAGGCGAAAGTTGTTTTCGTCCATTATACGTTGGGAGATCATCGCTTATTTTAAGCGTCCTTCGATTTCGTGCGGAACTTTCAAAGAATAAAGTGCGACACGAAGTTTTTAGAATTTTACCGAGAATGGTTTCACCCTCAAAAGTATGTGCAGATGACGCTACTATGTACTACCATTGTGAGTAATCACAGCCAATAGCAGGACACGTTACATCGAATTCAATAGGTCCCTGTTCTTAAGGAAGCCTCTGATTGGTTGGCGTTAATTTCCCAAGTAACATCGGGCCACCCGCCATAACGAACGTAGCGTGGTACGAGCGATTGTTTGAATGAACGTGCTCAAGCATAATTGACAGAATTTTATAATTAGTACCGATTCCAGTTTAGCATACGCAGTGTACACGAGACAGTTGCATACGTGAAACCTTATGGTGACAGTTTAAAGTCATGGAAGTCGCGCAAAAGTTGCATTTCGACGCATGCGACATTCAGGACGAGGAGCTGAATATCAGCTGTCGTACAAACAGCTCCGGTTGTGATGTTGACGATATTTTAGATTCTTCGGCCGAGGATCTTGGATGTTCACCCACACTTCAACCAAGAAAGTTATCGTTTAGCAATACGATGGACTGTAGTGACAGTGAAAGTAACCAATCTGTGCCAATCAATAATAACAAAACTCCAGTCAGTAACGTGACAGGTTAGTAAAATTTTGAACTTTTCATTTTGTTATGAGCTGTTTTTACACTATATTTTGAGTGCATCATATTTTTGAAGATAATGTTTACTGTCATACGCGTTTTCTTTGTAAATAGTTTTGAATGAAAAGTCATGAGATTGTTTTCAATGTTTCTCTTACAACACTCTTATATATTCTGTATTGCATGCTATTTTCTTTTTAAATATTTGAATTCTGTATGTAATCTTTATTTTGTTTTTTATTATTTTTATATTATTTAAGGCTGTTTGTGTAATTTTGGGAATAGTTGAGATGTTGAATTTTTGTTTGTTTTCTTAATGTCACTAATATGTGTGATTATTATTGTCTTTATTAATGTATTTTTAGTTTAAATGGCCTTTTTTGCAATTTCTTTATTTTTCATTATATATTTGCAAACACATTATCAAATGTATCTAAGAATTATTATTGTATTATTATTATTTTTCATATGGTGGTTGTTGTGCATGGTGTGGGAAAATTGATATTTTTGTTGGACAATTATTTTACATCATGCATAGATGTTTGTAATTTGAAAAAAATTATGTGGAAGTAGTCAGTAAATACATTTGTGCTGTGTACTGCTATTATCTCAGACTTTTAAATTATTTATCTATGTTTTATATACAAATATTTATGATGTGTGTACATTTATAATTTTCATATATTTAATTTTCAATAAAGTTTGCAAATAAAAATAATCTTTCAGAAAAATTGTTTTATATCTGTTTTTTTATATTATGTTATGATCATTAAAAAAGTGTTACCTGTGTTATCAATAAGTATTTTAAATCACCTTTATATATCATTAAGAGTATGTAAGCTGTAAATATTTAAAAATTACAAACAGTATTG